TGTCATTAACAAAACAAGCAAACATCCTATCCAACATTAATTGTTTTCAACTTAAGGAAATAACAAATTTGATGGGATGATGTGGGGAATAGGGCCTGGAAAAAAACAGACCTGGAAAAAAACAGGATTACCAAATTGCATCGCTGGATCCAGTGGGCGGTGACTATATACTATATTTTTTTCACTCTCATCTTTTCTTTTTCCTACTCTTATCCTGTCTTACTCTCCCCTATGCATTTTCTCCCCCCACAAAGGTTATCTCTATGTCACATTGTTATATGACAACACCCAAAATGCTAGCATACCTGTTGATACAAAATTGTTAAAATAAACCTTACCTATATATGTTTTCAGACACTGATTATTCAGTGTCGTTTCACTCTAATCCACCCCAAGGGAATTATTGAGAAGAACCTGGGTTACCCCCCTCCCCTTTTTGTGGGGCGGGTCGTAATACCCTATAAGGCCATCCATATAAGAGAAGGATACTCTAATTAAATCTACATCCTGAGCACCTCGCTGCCACCGTCCAAGTTTGCTAGGCCCTGGCAGATGAACCTTAGGATTAAAGGGTGGGTCCAGTTCTGCGCATGCTGTGTCTCACCTAAAAAATCCATTGCGCAGGCTCGAAGGCTTTACCCACATCTGTAAAGCCCTGTAGTGACAGGTGAGGGTCAAAAAGGCAGGTGAAAGGTCCACTGGAAGCCGCAGACCCAACCCTGCATACAAGTGGTTCGGGACATTGGTCATCTGAGACTGACCCCGGACACGACAATCTCTTTCAGCAGCATCCTGAATGACCAAGCAGCCTTTTTCAAGGAGAGCACTTCTTGCTCCACTTGGAGAGGGGCGTAGAAAAGGTGGCCTAACCAAAGCTCATCTCCACCCTTCACCCGGTTGGTTAACCGCAGCCAACAAGCATCTTCTAATTGCGGTCAAACAAAGATTAAGAGACAAAGGCATACACCTGCCTTCAAAGGTGTACCCAAATTGACACTAGCATGCTGGAACATCAGAACCATGCTTGATTCTGCGAATAGTGGACGCCCTGAGCGTCGTTCTGCCCTAATTGCCCATGAACTGTCACATCTCAACATCGACATAGCTGCTCTCAGTGAAGTTCGTCTCCACAAGGAAGGCAGCCTCAGAGAACATGGTGCCAGTTACACACTTTTTTGGTCAGGTAAATCCAGAACCAAAAGGCATCTTTCAGGAGTTGGCTTCATGATTAAAAACTCTATTGTCCCTAAACTCGAAAATCTTTCAACAGGTCATTCTGATCGCATTATCTCCTTACGCCTTCCACTACACAACAAGCAACATTGTTGTCCTCTTTAGTATATATGTCCCAACTCTCCAAGCTGACCCTGCCAAAAAAGATAAATTTTATACCAACCTGCGCCGCCTTACCCAAAAGGTTCCCGCAGATGATAAGATCATTATCCTTGGTGACTTCAACGCCAGAGTAGGAAAGAACTTTGAAGCCTGGAAAGGAGTATTAGGCAAGCATGGCATTGGAAACTGCAACAATAATGGTTGCCTTCTGCTAGAATTCTGTGCAGAGCAGCAGCTCACCATCACCAACACTATCTTTCAGCAGAAAAATAGTCTGAAGACAACCTGGATGCATCCTAGATCCAAGCATTGGCACCTCACTGATTATGTCTTGGTGTGACAGAGAGATGTTCGCGATGTTCATCATACCCGCGTGATGCCCAGTGCAGAATGCCAAACAGATCATCGACTTGTGCACTGTAAACTTAACTTCAACCTTAAATTCAAACCTAAAAGGGGTGGTATTCCAAGGAGGAGACTCCAAGTTAACGATCTTCAGTCGAGTACAGTGAAAGACAGATTTCAGGCAAACCTTCAAACTAGGCTCGAAGATCATTCCATAGATTCCTCTCCTGAAACACTTTGGCAACATACTAAAATAGCATCCTGCAGTCCTCTGAAGAGTCCTTAGGGTTCTCCTTCAAGAAGAACAAGGACTGGTTTGATGAAAACAATCAAGAGATCCAGGAATTGTTGAGGAAGAAAAGAACTGCTCACTGAGCACACCTTGCTCAGCCATCCTGCCATGTAAGAAAAGCAGCCTTTCGTCTTGCATGCAGCAAGCTCCAACAGAAACTTCGTGACATCCAGAACAAGTGGTGGATCAATCTAGCAGGAAAAATTCAATTATGCGCAGATACAGGTGATTACAGAGGATTCTATGAGGCCTTGAAAACAGCATATGGGCCTATATATCAGGTCCAAAGCCCTCTACTCAGCGCAGATGGTCAGGTGCTTTGCACAGATAAAATCTCCATTCTGAATCATTGGTCTGAACACTTTCAGACTCTTTTCAGTACTAGCCGTGTAGTGCAAGACTCAGCAATTCAGTGCATTACACAGCAACCGGTGAAGAATGAATTGGACATTGCCCCTACTAGGGAGAAAGTCTTAGGCCATACAGCAGGTGAAAACTGGCAAGGCAGCTGGAGTTGATGGAATTCCACCTTAAGTCTGGAAGCATGGGGGCCAAGCACTCCATGCTAAATTTCACGAGTTTGTGGTGTGCTGTTGGGAACTAGGCGAACTACCATCAGACCTTCGTGTCGCAGTCATCATCACCTTGTATAAGAAGAAAGGAGATAAATCAGACTGTTCAAATTACTGTGGTATTACTCTGCTCTCCATTGCTGGCAAAATCCTGGCAAGAATACTTTTGAACAGATTAATACCCGCTACAGCAGAAGAACTTCTACCTGAAAGCCATGGTTTCAGAGCCAACAGGAGTACCACAGACATGGCATTTGTTCTCAGACAACTGCAAGAGAAGTGTAGGGAACAGAACAAAGGTCTCTAAGTAACCTTTGTTGATCTCACCAAGGCTTTAAATACTGTGAGCAGAAAAGGTCTGTGGCAGATTTTGGAACATTCAGGATGTCCCCATGAGTTCCTTAAAATGATCATCTTACTTCAAGAGGATCAGTGCGGCCAAGTCAGTTATGGTGATGCACTTTCTGAGCCCTTTCTAATAACCAATGGTGTGAAACAAGGTTGCGTTCTTGCACCAACCCTATTCACAATCTTTTTCAGCATGGTGCTCCAAAGGGCCACGGCAGACCTGATGATCAGGATGGAATCTACATTCGATATCGTACTGATGGAAGCCTTTTCAACCTAAGATGACTGAAGGCCCATACCAAATCATCTTGTCTGGGAGCTGCTTTATGCTGACAATGCCACCCTCGTCGCCCACACAGAAGTAGCTCTGCAGCCTTTAACATCCTGCTTTGCTGAGGCTGCTGAGCTTTTTGGGCTGGAAGTCAGCTTAAAGAAAACAGAAGTTTTCTATCAACCTGCACCTCAGGAAGTCTTCTGTCATCCCCATATCACCATTCACGAATCAGAACTCAAATCAGTCCAGTAGTTTAATTACCTAGGTAGCATCATCTCCTTGGACAGTAAGATCGATAGAGAGGTCGACAACAGATTAGCAAAGGCATATAGAGCTTTTGGAAAACTCCATAAAAGAGTCCGGCGAAATAAACACCTGAAGAAAAGCACCAAGATCAGCGTTTACAGAGCCATTGTGCTGTTTACTCTCTTATATGGATCCGAATCATGGGTCATTTACCGCCACCACCTGCGTCTCCTAGAACGCTTCCATCAACACTGCCTCCGTACAATCCTAAACATCCACTGGTCAGATTATGTGACTAACACGTCTGTTCTAGAACAAGCAGCACTCACAAGTATTGAGGCCATGTTGCTGAGAACACAGCTGCGTTGGGCAGGACACGTCTCAATGATGAAGGACCACCGCCTCCCTAAGATCCTGCTTTATGGTGAACTTGCCACTGGCCACCACAAGAGAGGAGCCTCGAAGAGGAGATACAAGGACTCCCTAAAACAACATCTCAGCCTTGGCCATATTGATCTTTATCACTGGTATACTCTGGCCTCCAATCAGGAGGTCTGGAGACACACTATCTATAATGCTGCTGCTTCTTTTGAGAACGCACGCAGGATCACTCTCGAGGAGAAAAGAACGCAGAAAGAATCGTGTCTTGCCGATACCATCCAAGGAGTCTTTCTACTGTGCCTTTTGCAACCGGACTTATCTATCTCGCATTGGCCTATTTAGCCACCAGCGCACTTGTAACAAACGTGGGTAGAGCCCTTCCCAAATCTTCGTTCGCGAAGCCTAGCCATGATGATGTATTGAAATGTTTACAATGTTTACAATTAAACAAGTGTTCTCAAAAAATAATTAAAAAAAAGGGATTTGTGGGGAATAGGGCCTGGAAAAAACCCAGACCTTTGCAGAGAACAGAGCAACTCATTACATGAGTGAGCTGCAACTCCAAAAACTGCTGTTTCAACTTCCATGACAGCTAGCAGCCAATCAGATGCTGCCATCAGTTTTTAACCTTATAAGGTATGTTTGTCTGTTGGTGTTGGTTTATAAAAGGGGCTATGACCCCAATAAACTTGTCTCAGCTTCACCCCCCCTGAGTCTGTGCCTCAATACACCTCAGGATGACAGTGATTTTTCACATCTAAAGCTGCATGATGTTAACACAGTAGATATAAGTGAAAGGGCACTGAAAAAGGAAAAATTTGTTGCACCAAAATTGTAATTGACATAAAAATTGACATGTTATCAGATAGAAGAATCCATATAAGCAAGACTTCATACCTGCCCCAGCTGAGAGAAAACTCAAAAATTGTACGTCAAACAGCAAGATGATCTAAGGTTTGTACTACAGCCCATCAAAATCAACCTTTTCTCAAACTTTAAAGCCAATTTAAAAAGTAATTTAAAAAATAAACAATTAAGTTTTTAAGCAGCAGATTTTTAGAAGAGAATGATATTTATATTTAGTTTTAGCTTTGTATCTCTGCCTTTACACAACTACTTGTTCTTCAAAGGAAAGATTTTAAACTTTGTCATCCCTGACTCATGATCCAAAAGATACTAGTACTTTTTTTTTTCTCCTTTGGTAAAAACTTGCATGGCAAAGGACTGGAGTAGAAAATAGAAGTCTACTAGACTTTTCATTCAAGAATGTAAAATTCACCGAAGCCTAAAAATCTGTAAGTTTGAGCCCAATGTATGTTTAACACTAGTGCTATTAAGATAGAAGAGAGCCACTTCAAACACAGTAAGTGAGAGCAGCAGACCTGACGAGGTTGGGATGGAGTGCAATTGTTCCAAGCAGACTGGCTGGAACCAGATCTAGGAAGGTGAGTACAATAAAGTAGGAAATGTGTAATTATGTAAAAAGTCTTCACGAAATACCCTTACATTCCAACATAGATCTAAACAACCTGATCAAACTAGCAGGGAACATTCTTTCTCATTAATTAATGCAATGGTGCCACCACTTTGATTTTCTTCCCAGATAACTAGGATGCTTTTTGTGAATGCCACAAGATGTTTTAAATAGCTCTGTACTGCACAAAAATTTTGGATGTTCTACATGTAGTCTGAAGCTCGTTCACAACAGGGCTCATAGCAACCTAACTCTTCAGGTATATAAAGAAACAATGAGAACCCTCTCCAACAAGGAACTTCAATATTTTGAAGTTCAGTCCAGAAGTATTTCATTTATACAGCTAACTTACAGATGGAGATCTACACTCCTAATTAAATGTCTGCATAGCCTATAAAATATATGGAAATATCTGGCACATTGGAATGGAACTGCAGTGTAGTGTCAGAATCAGCACTTGGAGAAGCAGGAACTAAAGCTAGTTCATTCCTTTTCAGCACAAGCATTCAAAAGGTATCTGGAAAATACGTCCATCAAATACCTCACCTATGGATTTCAAGTTGCTTTGGAATGAATTCCACCTTTCTACTGACACATAGGTTGAACAGTTATACTGGCATTATGATTCCCATGTATCTTAGGTAAAAGTCTGAATTCCATTTGCTCTCTAATCTCAGGTATTTCAAAACCTATGCTTCCCTGTGTCCCAGAAAAGTGCTCCAAGTTCCACACTCTAGGTTTTCCAGTTCCCAAAAGAAAAGACTTACTGGCCAGAGGAAATCAAAATATAATCTAGTTTGGAAGATATTTTAACAGTGTACAATGTGACTTGAGGGGAACTTCATTTGTAAAGATGACTTTCTTTTATAATCCACAGAAGTATTTTCAGAAACGGTTGTATGTACCTTGCAAAGAAGTGAGTGAACTGAAAACCATGGCCCAGGTGACTAAGCTGTAATGACTTCTAGTTATTACAATAGACTAAACATTCCTGAATGTTTAAGTGTTCTAAGTCTGAATAACTGATGTGTTCAAAATGGTTTATGAAGTTGTTTAAAAAAAAATATTGTTACTTTCTCTTCACAAATACAATGGCAGAGCAACCAACAAAACAGTGTATGAATAATTTCAAAGATTATTCATGCATACAGGTTTACCAAGGGCATTCTAAAATGAGATTAGAGTGATATTGGAGCACAGTAACAGCAAATTCAGTATAACAGTTCCTCAAAATCTCAAGATGATCATAGTATTTGGTCTCTAATCCATAGCAAATACAATAACAACTTCCATTTTTATTTTATTTTTAAATAAAAAATAAAATGTATCATTATTATGAAATATTATAGCCAACTGTCAATTCTATTTGGACTAAAAACTCAATTGTTTGGCTTTATTATGGAAAAGTGCTTTTACAGTGACTCCACAGGAATATCCTAAGAACAAATGTAAAACCATTAACTATACTGAAAGCATAAGGATCAGAACAATTCTAGAATCAGTGACTGGATCCCTGTCCAACAGAATTTGTCTTTCAGTCCCCGCTACCTACCGCCCTTCTGAATAAGCCTCACGACCTAACGATGACCTTGCATATCTTGGTGTAGGATTTTGTTTCTTTTATGTTGAGAGAAGTCTTGTTGCATAACATACAACTTTGCTTTTAATTCATTACACATTAGCTGTTGCTTATAAGCACATTATCTGATGTCTGTGGAAATATGTGTACACATAGTGTCCTTTTACTCAGTTATCAAAGAATCTCTTGCTCTCCAGTATTCTTCCCCACACACTAAATCTGTATTTGTTAGTTCTCTTAGCTTTTTACTCACTATACACTGGAGAGATGTTCTTCCTAGCTTCATTTCTTCTATCTTCTATCCTGTGTTTTTGAGGAGCTGATTTCCAACAGCAACTTCCTGAAACTGCAGCAAGATCACAGTCTGCCCTGACAGACTAGCAGTAGTCACATTTGGGGGCAAGCAGGGGGAGGACAGATGGACACAGGATGAGACACACAAAAAAACCCCAAACCAAAACAAACTGTTCAAGACAATAAAGTTTTGGAAAATGTATTCATACTAACATGAACTTGATTTTGGACAGGAAGAGGAGCAGAAACATTTAAAACCTTCTACCAGAAGTGGAAACAAAACAAGGCTTGCTCAGGGGAAACAGGAGAGTGCAAACAGATCAGGACACTGATGGCTTGACATTTTCATGTGCATGCAGGCGAAACATTAAACCAGCCTTCAGTTCCGAGCATTTTATTACCCTCAAATTCTTAAGGCAAGCTGTGAATGTTCCAAGTATTAAGAATTAAAAGAAAATTATCAAGTATCTCTAAATGCAATTAAGCTTCTCAAAAAACAGCCTCAATAAGGCTAAAAAAAAAGTTCTAAGGGGAACTACTGCAAAGTGAGGAAGGAACTGCAGGTGCACATAGCTGTGCGGGAACACAGGGTACTCTGCTAATAGCACTACGCCTCGCTGAAACAACTGAGTCAGCAGAATTTCTATTTATATGCTCTCTTCCTACAATAGTCACAGTCAAGGCAGGAAACTCAGCAGTCCTGCTTCAAGAGAGAAACTGGTGTGCTTGAGAAAGGATCAGCAGTATAGTGTAAGGTAATTCTACCTTTTAAGCTAATACAGGAGTCAAAATCCATTGGCAGAGAAGAATTAGTTCTTGATAAAAGTCATTAAGATGGAGCTTTTGTGCCTTCTCTATGTCTCTTTGTTTCTACAATAAGACACAGTCTCATTCAGAAACCTATTTGGCACACAAGTAACCAAGCAATTCTTAGTAAGCCCATTTTGTCTTCCATAGGTCTGCATGTGGAAATGGCTGAGATCCTACACCAGTTTTCCTTTTGTGAAGCTGATATTCATGATGCTATTTAAGACACATTTATTAGTGGGATTTTATTTTAAGTAGCTGAGGAATGAATACTGTCTGTGTGTTCATCAAACCAGAGCAATTCTTAGACCTGTTTGCTTAAGCAAATACAATACAAAGTTGTTCTCATGTCTACTTTCTGTCATAGTCAAATTCCACAACTAGCCAAATCATTACTGAGGAATTCCTTCTGATTTCATATTCTTAACAAATTATCTCATTTCCAACACTCATATTAAATGTAGTATCATTGGTATATAAACAAGATAACAAGACTTAACACTCCACTGGGAAAAAAAAACAAACCAAAATGTTTCCCCAAATGAGTGGAAATCTGCAATGAAAAAAATATGTAAAGTTTCTAAAAGATCAATGTGCTTAATTCTGAAAAAGCATGGTGTTACACCTAAAACAAACAATTGGCTCTTTAGGTATACAATCATTGACACAAAAAAGCTCAGCAACAGCATTAGTCAGAGACTATAAATTTACTTTCTAGTCTACAGGTAACAATAAGCAAGCATCTATACTTATGTCCCACGTAGTTTTAATATCACAGAATACGCTGAGTTGTAAGGGACCATGTCCAGTCCTTAGCCCTGCACAGGACCATCCCCAGGAGTCACACCATGTGCCTGAGAGTATCATCCAAAAGCTTTTTGAACTCTGTCAGGCTTGGTGCTGTGACCACTGCCCTGGGGAGCCTGTTCCAGTGCCCAACCACCCTATTGGGTGAAGAACCTTTTTCAAATATCTACCCTAAACCTCCCCTGACAACTATGATTATTAAATGGATGCAAACTGTTACCGTTTTATCCCTGAGTCGTTCTCCATGGATAAGAAAATCAGCACAGCTATTCTCTTCCTGGGGAATGACTTTGAAGACTGTGACACAGCTTAGTCCACCCCCTCCAAGTGGTAACCATCCACCACTTGAGTCATCCCGGGTCATCACCACAGCTCGCACTCGTGCATAACTATTACTGAAAGAGATGCAAAAGAAGAAATTAGTTTTTCAAAAACAGAAACCAGCAAAGTCTAGTTAAAAACTAAACAAAAACAACAAACCCATAACCAAGGTCACAATAATTAACACTGTCTTTTCACAGCTGTCATCCTAGAAGAAACCCATAGACCACACTCTAAAAAATGTTCCTCTGTGCTTTTATGACTTCATTAGGACTTTATGGAGCTTACATGTAATTTCTTGTAAAGAAACTTAACCAGAGAATATAGTTCCCAAGTCAAAACCGATATTCTTCTAAAAATTTTACAGTCAGTAATCTAGCTAGAGGGTCGGGAAGAGAGTAAGAATCAACTCCTGATTTATTTTAGACTAATCATGAAGCCAGTCAGTCACCATGAAATTGCATAGAAAAGAGAACAAGAAAGCAGAAAGAGGTCAGGCCTTCTGTCACTGAAATCTAAACACGAACAGGTTTCTAGCCAGAAAACCCTGCCTCCCTTCATCCATCCCTCCTCCCCACACACATAACCTGTCCTTTGCAAGGGTAGGTCGGGACACATACATTGTGGGGTTCAACAACAGAACCAGTTACAGCTACTTAAAATCACTATTTGCAGTATCTACTAGCTGGTTCTCTCCTGTAGTGAAAGCATTTCACAACTGAACAGCTTTTTCCCATCATTTAGCATTTTTATAAAATACACAAATGATTATCATGTCATTACTTAGGAGCCAAATTGCTTTTTCAGAAAGGAAAAAGAGGTTTTGGTGATCTCTCTCTCTCTCTCCTTTTATTTATTCCTTTTAAATTAAATGACAAGTTTTAATTTTGATTATGAATTTGCCAGTATATCAGTTGGAAAACCGCATGGTTTACCAAGGATAAGATCCTATATTCGAAGTATGGTTCACTGCATGAATGTAACAGTTGATGAATGACTATTCAAACACCTTAAATATGATTCATGTTATCTTTTGCAACATATTCTGGATTGAGGGTTTAAGTACTTATGCCAATTGGCATTAGTGATGTCAAATTTAAGGGCTGAAAAGGAAATATTAGAAGAGGACAAAGTTGTTCCTTCTGTACAAAATTACTTGTGATAAAACCATTCACCAAGCTACTGTACTTTTAAAAGATCACTGCTTTATTTTTTTTGCCCAACCATACTAAAATAACAAAGGTAGGCTTTTTTGCGTAATTAATATATTACATTCTCACACACACATATGATTCGCACATATGATTCATTTGTGTGCGTATAAATATATATATATATAAAAAGGAATTCTGCTGCAAGCATCTAAAGCTTAAATACATAATGGTTTGCAAAACAGAAAATAAAACAAGACTATAAATCTTTAGCTTACAGGCAGCTGAATTTGTTAATAGATTTTTGTTTGCCGCCTCCAAGCAAATCCCAGCCCCCTCCTGTCTCTAAAAATCATAGTTAAAATGACAGTTTGGTCAATGTTTCTCACCATTTCTGTACCAACTTACTGAAGTAAGTACTCAAACGCAGCAGACAAATATAATGAAGAAAAATCCAATCCTTCTTTGTATGCATCTATCACAATTCTAATATCTGCAAACAAAAATGGCTACATCTTAATACTATTACTGAAAGTTGAATCATTCATTCATTGGTATCTATCACCCTATTCACTCCAATATAGGTTCAAATTGTAGTTGTACACTTCAGACATAGGTAAGTCTTTCATTTCATTTCTCTCAGAACAGCTTCTTCTGACAGAAACTGAGGACACCGGGACTTTTCTCTGAAAAAGTAAGAAACAGGATGCACCAACTGGTTAAGCCTGTTTTTGCTATTGTCCATTTAAGTGAAACACAAATTTAGCTCTGAAGTTATTACTTCTATAAATTTGGTTGTAAATCTGAATATTAGAGCTTTCTTTTGTATATCAACAGACTGCAGCAAGAGTTCAGTTAAACATCATTTAGGGATATCACAGAACTTCCCTTAGGTTACATAAGAAAACTTAAACTATAACATAATAATTTTTTCCTAAAATGAAAGTTTACACACCGCATTAATTTTCTTTCCAAGAATTGCTAAGAAGATGCAAATATGGATGTTTCTTTATCATACCCTGTCAGTGGTGGGGTTTTCCCCCTTCCCTATACTGAGATGTCTAGTCTAATTAACAATCTTGTGTTTTGCTTCCCATATATTCCAAGTGGTTTTAAACATTCATGCTTTCAAATATTTTGGAAATGGGTATCAAATCCACTGCATTAGTGCAAGAGCCAAAATAAAATTCCCCAACAGGTAATATTTAATGAATAACCTCTTAAATTGAAATAGTTTTTTTTTTATTTGAAATAGTTTACCTCCCTGTAAATTAAATAGACAAATTCATTACTTTACTTGCAACAATGCCAAAGACTACAAAGAGATTTTTTAGTTTTTTTGTTTCTTTTGGTGGCTGTTTTTTAATATTATTTTTTATATTTGAACAGAACTCACAATTGGTAACAAATGCTATTTTTAGTGACAATACAAGCTGGTTTGCAATTAGCCACAATGCAGTGGCAGGACTTACAAATGCTTTCCATTTCCAAAATCCTCTGTAAACAAAACAGCATCTGCCTGTCTCACTACTGGTGTCACCAAAATCATTCAGATGTCTTTTATCTGTAAGTACTATAACCCCACCTACTCCTGGGAACTTCAGGACAAATTGCTAAACTGCTGGTCTAGCTTAGCTGTGGGAAAAAGGGCAGACAAGGCTCCAGTGTTTTGCTAACACAGTCTAATGTTTTTACCTCCTCCTGCATGTTTAGTAGCTCTATCAGGAATACCTGAACAAAAGAAAAACCAAAAAAAACAGGGTAATCAGTTGAGCATTGCTCTTATGAAGCCTTTTACCAGAGCTACCACAAGTATGGGAGACAGAGCATGAAGAGCAGCACTGCAACAGCAGGCCCAAACCTAGTGTACTGCAGCCAACTTTTCCTGAGACTCCCTGATTTTGCTTGTGGCCACTTGCTCTTGAGGCAGAGCAAGGTCTACAGGAAATGGTATTCTGGCCATAGGAGCATGCTGCTTCCCAAAAGTCAGTGTTGAGCACCAGTGAAGAGACAAGAATATCATCCAAGATCAGTTCCTAACAATAAAGGAAACAGATCTTCTCTCTCATGTCCGAATGCCTCAGGTAAGGAGGTAAGAGTACAGTATCCTTCTATGGTTACAGGAAGTTATAAATCGAGATAAAGGAGAAAAAGAAAAAAAAAAAGGTTATCTACAGTGGTTTTCCCCCTAGTAGTTAAGACCTACTGAACAGTACAGCATACATTTGAATGCTAAACCTATTAAAACTTAAATAAGGCAATTTGAAGATAGCAGGCACATAGATAATATGTGTATAATATTGTATATTGCATATATCTTATAAATGAAAATCCAGTCCTTGCCTGTCATCAGCTGCAAATTATTTTTTTTTTAGTACTATAAAGCTCCTACCATTACCATCAAGAAACTTGGATGTGCAAGTGGAATTCTAAATTGAACCATAGGAGAAAATGACCCTCTTAGATTTGGTAAAAATATTTAGAATTACGGTTTCTTTCAAAGCTGGAAAGCAGATTTGCAGAAAAGGACCTCAAATTTCATATGGATACCAAGCTGAACATAAGCCAAAAACATGCCCTGGGGACAAAGGAGGCCAACAATATCCCAGCTGCATTAGAAGTGTTGCCAGCAGGTCTCAGGAAGTGATCCCGCCCCTCTTCCCAGCCCTAGTGAGGCCAGATCTGGAGAGCTGTGTCCAGTGTTGGGCTCCCAAATAATGAAAAACATGGAGCTCCTGGAGGGGGTCCAGCAGAGTGCAACAAAAATGATTAAGGGACTGAAGCATCTGTCATATGAGGGAAGGCTGAGGGAGCTGGGGCTGCTCAGCCTCAAGAAGAAAAGACTCGTGGGTATCTTATCAGTGTATACAAATATCTGAAGGAAGGGTGCAAAGAGGATGGAAACAGGCTCTTTTCAGAGGTGCCCAGTCAGAGGACCAGAGGCAACAGGCACAAACTGAAACACAGGAGGTTCCATCTGAACATCAGCAACCACTTTTTCACTGAGCACTGGCACAGGTTGTCCAGAGAAGTTGTGGTGTCTCCATACTTGGAGAGTTTCAAAAGATATCTGGACGCAGTCCTGCGTAACCTGCTTTAGGAGGCCCTTCCTTGAGCAGCAGGTGTGAACAAGAAGAATTCAAGAGGTGCCTTCCAAGCTCAATCATTCCTTTTTTTTTTAATTTAATATCATATTTTAAAGCACAGCAATTTCAATAAAATACAATTTCATAAATATAACCAATATGGGTTAATTTATGAGAATTCATGATACTTCGAAGCAAGAGTTGTCACTGTGCACAACTGCTATTTAAACACTTCTGACAAGGGGAAAAAAAAAAGGTGTTCTGAAAAATCGTGACACACTCTGCTGAGATTACGCTATCTTTGCTGGCATGCAAGTAACAGCTCCAGGCTGATCTGCAAATGTGAAACGGTCATGGATCAAGGTTCTTTACCTTTGACTGGCACTTTACACACGTACTTTAACCCTTCCAACTTCTGGTGCAATATACTTCTGTGTTTGTAGCCTTACCCAAAGAACATACATGAATCACACTTGGCTTTTTATGGTTCTTATTATCCAAAAAGCTTAGCAGAAGATTTTATGATTCTCAGCTAGAGAAGTGCTCAGGAGTACATAATACCAGACCATTTAGCTAAAGTCTGTTTTACTTGCAGATAGCCTTTTTTGAGTATTGACTCAATTTAGAAAAACAAAATAATGTCAGTATCACGAGTGTATCAGTGCACCGCTGATGTTATAAACCCCTTGTTACTAAAGGTTTAGAGAATGAGTGCCACCAGCACAAAACATTAATGACTTGGCTAAAACAAAAGAGATGCAAATATAACACAAGTACTAAAGAAGACATATTTTATATCAAGAAAACATATGACAGCACATATTTTTTAACAAAGAGGATTTGCTCTAATAGCAGCTACATGAGGCTCTGCCTAACACGACTATTACCTTTCTCCTCTCAAAATTATACCAGCAAATCAGAGTATATACCAAACTCTTACACTGGTAGAACTCAAAACTTGGCAGATTTTCTCCTTTAAAAAAAGAGGCAAAAGGTATTCTTCAGAGTAAACAGCAACCATACATGGCTACTATTCCTAGGAAGTTTATTTCTGTGAGGAGTTTAGCAAGGAAAGGCATGTACTTCCAGGGAGAATTACATACAAGTGCTGTTACATTTAGGATATTGGTACCTATACTGATTTACTGAAGAGCTTTGGATTTTGCCAAAAAACCTGAATGAAGCACTACTGCTCAAACAAAAAAAAACACCCCAAAACCAAAATAACAACAAAAAAATCTTACAGAAACCTGACTACCAAGCAAAATGGCTTGAAACCAAAATCATAAAAGGGAAAAGCTACATGGGAAACTGTATTACATAAGGAGGGGATAACTGGTATCCTGAAATACATGATTACAATTATTATTTAGCAGAAGAGGCATATTAAATAAGGGATTTGACAGTGCACCTACAATTCAAAAGGGAAAATGAGATACAAATGAACAAGTGTCCAGAACAGGAAACTGTCAAAACAGTACATCGCTCTCATGATGTATTCTCTTGGACACAACATCAAAATAAAAAAAAAATAAATTAAAAAATAGGAATGGAGTTCTAATGCTCCTATTTTAATACAGACAATTTAAGATTTGTGACCATGTAAAGTAATCAGTGCTGCAAGGAAGAATGGCTACTGCTGTAAGCACTTTTGCAAAGCACAAGAGCACATGAAGAATGGAGAAGCTGTTAAGAAGATTTGAAAACCATCAAAATTACATACAAAGTAGGCGAACAACATTTTAGCTCTGCTCCCCAGCATCTTCTCTTGTTTAATAATTGTAGCTAGTTTCTATTAGTTCTGTATGTTATCAATGAGTGCGTGTTAAATGAAGTAATATTTTAGCAGACTAAAGATGACAACGCATATTTGGATTCCATCTCTTTTAAAGAAACTGCAGTTTTCCTAATAGAATGGATTCTGTGACACCATCTGGTCAAGGCATATTACTTAGAAAATGGCATCTGATATAAAATACAAAATCAAATAAAAAACCCAAACAAACTTATTTTTCTTTCTACCCTTCCCCACAGAAGTTAAAAAGAATCAAAGTAACATTTAAAGATTGGTCTACAGGTTTTGGACATGTATAGCAGAACTACGTAAACAGCATACTTCCCACAGCTGCTTGCTTTACAACAGAGGACTGCTGATATGAAAGACTCCTGGATTAAATTCCATCCAATTTTAGACAGATAATTTATACATAATTTGAGTGTTCAGATCCTGGTATTCCCGTGCCCCCCAAGTTTAATTGGCTTCCTCCAGAAAACCCGATTTTGTCTCTTTTAAAAGCTGGCAGCCATTACTTTCTTACCAAGCTCTTGGGTACTGATGCCATGTATTAATTTTGATTTGCTTACCATGGAAACACATAGATAAAGATGAAAGAGCCCACAAATAAAACAAGAGAAAGAGGTTAAAAGGCTTAGGATTTTTTTTTTTTTTAGATAAGTTAACATTTCTTTCCCACCTTGCAAAAACAAAGGAATGTCTAAAGAATCCATGGAAGATGAGCTTTTCATCTTCTCCAGCTCTTCAGCAAACTGAAGACAAGCACAAGTCTGCAGCCTAAGGCAGATTCCACTGAAACTAAGACAACTTGACACTTCCAGTAAATGTCGTCAGACAAAATCCATCCAGCTTAGAAAGAATTTTTTTTTAAACGAAGCTTACAGATTCAGTTGTGCTTTTTATTTTCCTGGGAACAGCAGTGATTACTACAGTTTAGAATAACATAAATTATGGAAAGTTTTTCAGGTAATAGTTGTATCTGAATAGGTCAGAATTCTCTCTTCTCTCAAGAGACATTTTCCTCCAGCCTTACATGCTCACAAAGTCCAAGTATCAAGTATGCAAGTACAATTAGATTACCCTCATAATCAAAGCCATTGGTCATCTAGTCATTGAGATTACAGATGGCAGCACTGGAGACCCCATTAACAGGAGATGTGAACACATTAATCAACAAGTCATTTTGTAATAAAGTTCTTGACCACTAAGATAAGATGAAGGTAACTAACACATTCCTTAGCTACCCTAAAGTACGACAGGCTGTACTGAATATTTTATTTTCAAACAAGCATCTGTGTACATTTCATTTCACTGCTTGTTGTATTTAGGAATAGTACCTCACTAATGTCCAGAAAGCTATTATTTTCTTCCTAACACACCTAAGAATTTATTTAGCAAAAATAAAGGACAAACTTGTTATACTTTATCTAACACACCAGAAAACATTGTCACAGATTTTTTTATTTACTATGTCTGAATTTGTCAGTTTATCCTGGACGATACACTCTTTGCGACAGGGACCATCTGTAACAAGCATAATTCAATAAAGACCCGAGTTCATGTTGGTATACAGAGCTTAGGTGGTAGCTGCTACATACTCTTAATATTTTGGCAATACATTATGGAAGAAAAAAAATCACCAGGCCCATTGAGCTTACTCACCTAAAACAACACTTGATATTAGGCAGGAAAGCACAAAATTTAAATTTATTCTTAGCACATTAAAAGAAATTTATGAAAGGTCCAGATCATTCCTGGCATGCATTTCTCACTCAGCCTGCACAGAAAAGGAACAGAATCTGGAACCAAATAAAGCATATCCACACTTATAAAAATAATCTTCCTTTAACAGCCTTGCTGAGCTGTGAGATTGCTAATGAATGTTGTATACAAACAACATTCATGTATTTTAAAACTATGTGAATTGAAACTGTAGTATCATCCATTGATATTGTTAAATCTGAAGCTTGTCTCAACAGTTACACTGACCTAGTTTTTTAAGGACTTTAACTAGCCAATATGAAAGCATTTTAAAGTAAATTATATTCTAAGAAAATCCTAGTGCCAAATTCCTCCTTTTTACGCAGTAAGAAAACAGTAAACATCCAAAAGGATGTTTCGAATGCACAAACAGACAAATCATGCACTAACAAAACAAAAAGACTACAAGTGAAACTGCAAAATGCTTAACAAATAACACCAAAATCAGAGCAGCAAAGGAAGTCTGAACGATCCTTAAGAAAAATAAGCTCTAAAGGTGTATCTTCACTGACCAAAAGGAAGCTACTGTTCCCTTGCTATGCAGCGCCACACTTTGTGGTTTGAGTCAGTCTTTTCTGCATTTTAACAAACTATGAATATTTGGGAAAGAGGAAATAAACTGAAACAGAGAAGTGAAAAACAAATGCAAAGATTTCTATTACAATAACCCATCAAACGAGAAGAAATAAAGGATTAATAAGATTATACAAAATGTTTTGATAGTAGGCTTTTCATATTTGCCATATGTCAGCATGAAAAATGTGACTTATATAGCCAGTATATAATTGTATGATCTACGTTTGATAATCTCAGTAATAATTAGCAGCCTAACGAGCAGTCTTAAGCATAGAAACAGGTGATTCACAAGGCCTAGAGTCAGAGCATATGGATACTAATAGTGTATTCAAAAACGGTAGAGCTAAGCCTTTGTTTACTACATTCCCCACAGCAACTACTACTACTGTAATACTTTTCACACATTTCTGCAAAAAATTGCATGTATTTAATACACGGGTCACGCATGAACATAACACAGAGCGAAGTAGCACACTAAAAGGCCTCTCAGTTCAAAATGAGGATTATGTAAGTTCTATTATTTGCTGCTATTCCAGAAGAGAAGTTTAGAAAATTGTAACCAGTTGCAAAGAAAAAGAATTAAAAGTACACATGCATTCCCCCTCCCCACCAAATATGCAATAGACCAAAATAAGAACTCATTCACACTTTATAAATGATAGCTAGTCATGAGAACTCATACAATAATCACTGAACCTCTCACTCTACTCAGCAACTGAAAAGGGATCCACCAGATACAGCTTCCTTGTTTTCTCAACAACACAATCTTAAACAAAGGGTTACAACATGGAGATAATGAGATAATTCAGTGTTATAATTATGTCTCCTTGTTTCCTGTTTGGACTTTTAAAACCATTAATACCATCAGAAGAGTAACAGCCTTAAACTGATGGAGGGCAGGTTTAGGTTAGACATTAGGGAGAAATTCTTTACTAGGAGGGTGGAGAGGCGCTGGAACAGGTTGCCCAGAAAAGTGGTGAATGGTCCATCTCTGGAAGTGTTCAAGGCCAGCTTGGATGGGGCTTTGAGCCCTGGTCTAGTGGAAGACGTCTCTGCCCATGGCAGGGGGCTGGAACTAGATGATCTCTGAGATCCCTTCTAATGCAAATAATTCCATGATTCTGTGATAAATTATGGGTTCAGGATGGAACTTCACCACAATAAGGAAGTTCTGAAAAGGGTGATTGGAGACAGCTAAGTCGAACTGCTCCAAATATCCAAGAATCCAAGTCAAACATGATGCAAGCTCAAAACAGTTTTTAGACAGTAGAATCCAAGTCAGAGTGAAAGAAAGGTCTTTTAGCTTCAGTCAACCTATGAGACAAAAATGTCATGAAGGAACAAGTCTACAGATTTTTTTTTTCTAGTGCAGCTCTGACATCTATGTTGCACAGCTTTACTGAATAAAAAATGAATGCTATCCACCGTAAAAATGTTTCAAATGGCTATTTGCCATTTCTATTATACAAAATAGGACATAATAAAATACCTAGACTAAAGTACGAAATTGAAAAATCTTACTAAGTTGATGTGATATATATTAAGCCACTCCAGAAATGTTTGTGTTCTTGTATTTAACAGCACTGGAAATGAATCCTGACTGCATAACTGAAGAAACAGAACCAGAAAAATAAATATCTCTCCTTACAGAGACAGAGGAGGCCATTACATATTCAACAAATATAAGGAGAAATTAAACTGGTAGAATGAACAAACAGGTGTAGATGGAGAAGGTCAAACTTAAGAAACTTAATTAGGCTGTTTCGTTTGTACTTTGTGTTTTGTTATACACTTTTGCTCTTATTCCAGCAACAGAAGGATCTTCTCTATTCATATTCCAAGCACAGGGTCTACTATTAAAACAGTGAGAACTACAAATAATTTTCCCTTTTCATAAATAGCAATGAATTTTGAGTACTCTTATCTGCAAGGATACTGTTCGAGTAATCCAAATAAGCGAGGAGAAGTCGTTAACTGTTTTATTAGCTGAAGAAAAGCAATCAGCATTTTATTATACATCCTGAAAAGCAAGGTCAAAAGACCAAGAGCATATTACAAGTAACGGCTTCAGTGGTGCTAACAGACAATCTCTAATTTTTCA